CAAGGATAATGCTTGCATGTTCTGCTGATTCCATCACATGTTGACTCAGCAAAAGCAGGCCCCTTTTATCCATTTTCATTCAAGTTTCTGTGTAAAACTTAGTTTTTAAAAGTACTGTCTGGGCTAGCCACTCATTCCAATGATAGTAAGTTGGAGGCCTGGGATAAAGGGGACTATCCAAGGTTGAATACAAATGAGTAGCAGCACTAGGTCTTGAGCCCATTTTGCCATTTAAATTCGCTGTGTGGTTCTGTGTCCTGCCCATGAGCACCACTTGTGTCAGAAGGAGGTTGGAGGGAGCTACAAGCCATGCTTTATGGCTGCAAGATTGTGTTAATTTTTATAAGGGAAACAAATGTCTATAGATAGAACAATAAACAATACAGTGAAATTTAATAGGAGTGCAGAGTAGGGTGCAATAGTAAAGATTTATTAAACTCTGAGTCTCGGCATCATAGATAGTTTGATCTGATTTTTAATAACCACATACTCTAACTTCATGATTTTATAGATGCTGAAACTGAGGATTGAGGTTAAGTGAACTTGTATGGCTTGTTACTCTGAGCTGCCAATTAATTTGGCAGAACTAGACATTTAACCTATAGATAATGATTCCATGTTCAGTGACCCTAATGACATAGGTCAGAGTGGACAGCAGTGAGGAGGAATGACTTTTGAGGCAGGGGAAGCAAAGACAGCCCTAAGTGTGGCCATTGGGAGGTAGGAAGAAGTTGTATGCCTGGAGGGGTGGCTCAGTGTCCACAGAGAAGTGAGACACTGTCATACAAATAGATCTGGGCCAGAGGGTGGTGAAAGAGCAGCCACCATGGATTGTAGAGCTGGGCAGCGATGTGTGAGAGCAGTACTTAGAAGATGAGTCCATGTTGGTCTGGATTGAAGGTAGAAAAACCAGGAACACAGACAAGGTCTAATGGCTGTTAAGAAATAAAAGTTAATTTTAAAGAATAATCTATCACAGTGGTCGGCAAACTACAGCTCTCAAACCACATGTGGCTTGTGTACCGCGGTTTGCTGCTCTGTTGACTAATGAGTTTGCCAACCACTGATCTATCAGAACTTGTTAATAAACTAAACAGAATAAGGAGATGTGGGCAAAATGGTCAATGATCCTCAGGTTTTTGAATCTCACTGGCTGAAGGAAGATTGTGTAGGTGGGAGAAATAAAGCTAGGAGGGAGATTGGACTGGGGGTGGGTGGGCAAGAGGTGATCAATTTGACCTTAGAAATATTTGGTTGGGTGTGATGGCAAGATGTCCAGAAGGGGGTGTCCTTTAGCTGCTGGAGATAAATTGGGGTGTTCAGTCTGGACTTGGAGGTGTAGACTAACATGATCATTGTGGTTATGGAAATGGGTGAATTGAAACTCTGGGAAATGAAAGAGAAGTGCTTAAGACTTTGACTTGTGGCTTCCAGTGTTAGGAATGCTTCCAAAGGAAGGGCAAATCTACAACATCTGAGAAGAGAACATGGAGAGGTGGGAAGGGAGGCAGTCAACCAAGGGTTCCAAGGGGCAATGACCAACTATCAGAGGATTGAGAAAGAGTCCAGATTTGGTGCCATAGAAACTAATGTGGGTCTTAGAGAACATATTCACATGCAGGAGACCAAAAAGAAGATAGGATGGGGATGGTGTGCAAATAGCATGTCGAGTGTCTGGGGCTATTTGGTGCTGGTATGTGACCTAGGACAGGAGGACTGATGAGCTCTGTGACAGCCAGAGATGGTGTTTAAGGAGAGGTATGGGACAAAGTCCAGTGAAAGGCCACTTGGGGGTGAAAGAGAAGGAAAAGCTCTAGGGATGGAGTGTGTGACACACTGGGAGGGACTGAGGTCCCTGAGCTCCCTGATGAACTTCTCCCTCCTCACTCCATCACAGTGAAGCCAGGACCCAAGCAGGGGCTGATGTGGGAGCCTGTAGGGGAGACACTGGAATTTGGGGCTATGCCAGGACTGGAGGCTTCTAGGGCTCCAGGGGACTCAGCTGCCCTGAATTTCTGCCAGTTCTTTGAGCTGATAGTGATTGTGGGAATCCTGCTGGTCCAGCTTCACATAGGGCTCTCCACTGGGTCTGCCCCAGCCAGACCTTGGCACAGCTACCAGGATGCCCATACTTTTGCTGCCACAACCAAAAGATCCCATGTAGCTTGGCTGAGAGAGAGCACTGCATCAGGTGGGCTTTGTCGAGGCCATGCTGCTGGGGTCCTCTCTAGGCTGGGGCATCATCCGGTGCTTTGCTACTCAGAGTTTGGTCCAGGGACCAGCAGCATTGGCACTTGGTTGAGAGTTTGAAATGCGGAGTCTCAGGTCCCACCCCAGACTGAGGGAATCAGAATCTGCTTTTAGCAATAGCTGCCAATGAATGACATGTTCACCAGAGAGAGAATGGAGCTAGCCTAGGGGTCCAAGCCTGGCTGATCATTGGGATCATGCCAAGCCTAGGGAAGACTCATCAAGAGCCCCCCTGGTGACTCAAAGGGCAGGCACTTTTGGGAGGCAGTGACTTTATCTGAATGCTTCACTTAAAAAAATTAAAACTGCTGAAACCAGTTTGGCTCAGTAGATAGAGCGTTGGCCTTTGGACTGAAGGGTCCCAGGTTAGATTCTGGTCAAGGGCATGTACCTGGGTTGTAAGCTCAATTTCTGGACCCAAGTTGGGGTCCAAGCAATCAATGTTTTTCTCTCTCTTCCCTTTCCTTCCACTCTCTCTCAAAAAAGAAAAAAAAAATCAATGGAAAACATCCTAGGGTGAGGATTAAAAAGAAAATTAAACTTACTTTATACTAAAACTGAAATTCATATTTATATAGGAAGAACGTTAACATCTTTAAAAAAAAAAAACCATTCATGATCTTGCTACCACAGATCAGTGCTGTAGTAATGTGGGCACCCTTTGCTTCTGTGTCTTTGAATACTTGTGGGTTTCAGTGGCATCATAACCTATGCATGATTTATATCCTGCACTTTTCACTTGATATATCTGGAATATTTTAATGTCATAAAATTTGCTTCTACAATATCATATTTAATGTACACATACTTTTCTTATTTACTAAATTTGCCATAATTTTAAAATCAATGGCCTATTATTGAATATTTAGATTATTCCTAACTTCCTGCTATTGTAAAGTCGATATAGTGAAGATCTTTGTTGTTGTGGGGTCAAACCTTGGGGTCAGAATAAGACTACCAGAGGCTGCTAATAGATTAAAAAAAGCAGGCATGGATTTATTGAACTGGCCAGGACAGCCACAAGAGCACCACACACAGGTGGCCACACTCACGACTGCGCCGTTCCAGGTATAGGCAGTCCTTTTAAAGGTCTAAACCACAAAGATTTTCCTTTGTCCTGAATTCTAAATTCTAAAGTCTGGGAACAACCCGCAGGGTGGCTCCCAGCCACATCCTGCTGGACATTGGAATGTGGCTCTACATTGGGATAGCAGATAGTACACAAGCAGACCTGAACGGTTAATCTCTAAAGGTTATCTGCAGTTTCTACTCCTGAAGCTACTGAGTCAGTGGGAATCAATCTCCTGTGGTTCCGGTCCACAGGAACAGGAAAATTGCCTTAGCCTCCAGGTCTCAAACTGGAAGCTGAGGCAACTACCCTATTGTTTAAGCAAGTAAGCGGGTGCCAAAGCCAGAATAGCAGGGTTAAAATTCAAACAGCAGTTTTTACCCAAGTATGGTTGCTGCCATACTTCATTTGTGACTAAATGTTTGGGCAATCTCTTATATTTCATTAGAATGAGGGCAATGGATGAACTTACCAAGCACAAAGGCTTTTTTAATACTTTGATCACATCACCAGTACCTTCCAGAATTGCAGTCCTGCCTGGCACCCTGTTATCCTTTATTCCAATGAACCCTCAGACTGCAAAGCCCAGAGACAGGAAATGGGCTGAGGCAGATCCAGCTCTAAAGCTGTCTCAGTCTCACCACTTCTCACACCCAGGCCTTGGAGCTCAGTGCTGCTGCAGCGGCTGGAGCCCACCATCAGCATCAACCTGTCCTTTCACCTGCCTCCACACATCCTCGTCACTTCCCTCTCCCTCTCTGAGCCCTGCTCCTTTCTACCAATTTTCTCCTCCCACCCCCTCTATTTTCTGCTCTCTTATTTCTTCTCTTTCCCCTTCTTGGTGAGAATCTTACCTGCTTGGTAAACTTCAGCCCTAGCCATCCTTGCATTTTACTTTTCTGGGCTATTTTCCAACTCTTACCACACTCAGGCACTAATTTGCTCTGGTTCTTTCAAACTAGATTCCAGACCAGCCCTTTGGAAGGTCATTTTAGGGCAAAGCTCTGGGGGCAGATTACCTGGCTGGAAGGAGAAGCTTTGTGGTCTGGGGTTTATATGGGGACACTGGCTTCAGTTTCGATCACTCATACCTTGAGCCTAAGCCTGTCCTGTTTCCACGTTGTGTAGTGGCAGGAGTTTGTCAGGATTTGGATGGTCTCTCTCTTCCAGAGTCTGGGCAAGGCGACCAGTCTCTCGGAACAAGCTGTCTCACTGTGCAGGGCAGGGTCCACACCTCCTGCTCGGAGTGGGGTGGTGGTGGCTGTGGTGACTATATCTCTGGGAAGTGGGGTGAGGTTCCAGTGAGCCCATCCTCAAGCTGTGAGGCTCCAACCCACCACCACCAGCTCAGCGTGGGAAGTGCTCCTAGAGAAATCATTTGGGGAATGTATTCTCTGATTTCACAGGGCTGGAACTAGGGCACGTTCTCAAGCTCACACCCCTGCCAGCTCGACCTGTTTCCACATGCCCAAATGAGAGGGGCCAGCACTGCCTGGAGTGTATGGGGTTAGGGAGACCTCAGTGGACTCGGGGGCCAGCCATGGAATAGTGGCCTGGTGGGATCTTCCATCCTGTGCCTGGGGATTTGGGGTGCATGGGGTGTCTGCCCCCAGCTCCACTGCCCTCCTCTCACAGCCCTTCTCTCTTTTCCCTCAAGGACCAGTCACCTGGGATTGAAGAAATGTGTTCCCTCCCCATGGCAAGATACTACATGTAAGTCCTCCCTTTCCTGGTCAAGAGCCTGGGGATGACTCGGGAGAGGGAAAGAGGCCGAGGCAGAATGGCAAGCCTCCTTCTTACCCTAGAAACCTCAAATGCCCTGTAATTAAGCTTAATCACAACCCCAATAACAATAGTCTCTTTCCTAAGCATCTGCATGATGCCAGCCATTTACTGTCTTGTCTCCATCCTAAGAAATCCATGAAAGGTTGTTTCTAAGCTCATTTTACAGATTGACAAACAGAGTCAGAGGTTAAACAAATTCGCGGATGTCACCCAGAGCCAGGGCCCAGACTGCACATCCTCTGTGCTGCTCTATCCTCTCTCTGAAAGCTGAGGGACCATTCTGCATCTCAGTGACAACATCTCCTCTGTGGCCTCACTCCTAATCCGGGTTTCTTTGTCTTACTTGCATTTTATCTTGTTTGATATTTTGGTGTTTACTTAGTTTACTCTTTACTGTCTATGACTTTCTATGCAAATTACCCCAGCCCTTGCGGAAGGTGATGGGATGTAATGAAAATAAAATACACTGGCCACTGGGGTGCTGTCCTCAGCTCCTGCACAGACATCTTGTCCCAACATGGGCTAGTCGGGGCTCCAAGAAGTCATAGCGCAGCTGGAAGTCAAGACACATATACAAAACACGCAAATGACAAGACAGATGCCTACCTTGGGGTATCTAGCTTGGGTTAAGGTCTCCAAACAACTCTGGCCAGCAGATGCATTCCACACTGTCTTGGAGGACCAGTTGGCAAGCCCAGGCTCCTCAGATGTTTATTTATTTATTTATTTTTAAATATATTTTTATTGATTTTGTACAGAGAGGAAGGGAGAGAGATAGAGAGACAGAAACATCGATGAGAGAGAGTCATCGATCAGCTGCCTCTTGCACACCCCCCACTGGTATGCCCGCAACCAAGGTACATGCTCTTGACCGGAATCGAACCCGGGACCTTTCAGTTCCCAAGCCGACGCTCTATCCATTGAGCCAAACTGGTTTCGGCAGATGTTTATTTTTTATTGTGTAAGTGAACTTGCTTTAAACACATAGTCATTAGCTAAGGGTATTGTAATTAGCTGTTATTGAGAAAGGAAGCTCTCCTGGAGGCAGTGGCGTTGGCTCTGAGCCTCTGCCATGGAAAATAAGGAAGCTCCTAGGGCTTGAGAATGGCTGACAAATGTCTCTGAAACCAGCCAGGCAACTGAGCTAATAGCCATGCACACGCTCGCTCAGCATGGTTTCTCAGCTCCAGGCATGCAGTCACCCTCCCAGGCCACCATTACCACCAAAGCCAAGCCCAGTGGCTGTCATCAGGCCACTCTAGCTTTCTGCCGACCTCTTTAGTTGGCCTCCATAATACGGGTGTCCCAGAGCTCATCTGCTGGGTACAGGGAACCGTGTGGCTTATTTACTATCACTTAGAATTTGTTTCCCCAATTTAAGGGTTTTCTTCTATTAAAGAGTGCTTAGATAGCTGAAAAGCAAATCACACTTCAATATACACTCAATTAATTCCTTTAATAAGAGAATAAACATCTATGGATAACTGGGGCAGGCCCAGAAAACCCAGAAGACTCACTGTATGCCGAGACATCTCAGCCTCCTGAGAAGATTTCTCCAGAAGTCGGCAGAAAAGGGCTATATCATCCAGAAACTTCTCTACCGCCCCAGTGAAATGGCACCCACTCCCCTCAGTGTCCTGAAGGCCTGACAGAGCCCAAGCTTTGTAAAGGGCGGAGGTGCAGCCTCCGATGAGATCCAGGGAGCCTTTCCTGCCTTAAGATGACCTGGTCCTTACCTGCCCCTTCTCACATGTAGGAGGAGAACAACCCCAGATACTTAGTATGCAATCAGATTGTAGGGTTGGGGCTCAGCAGTGCCATCAGTATTGCCATCTGTTCCAGAATTAAGGATGCCAATCAGAAGGCTCTGTACCTAAGAGGCGACCAGCTCCTGGTGGGAGATCCTGATGCGGACAACTGCTGTGCAGGTGAGCCCTGAGCCTCTGCCGCTGGGACCTGCCCAGGCTCCATCTGCCACATGCTCTCCCCTGCCCTCCTGCCTCTGGGGACAGTGAGAAGAGACAGTGAATAACTGAGACCCCTCCTACTAAGAGGGCATGACCCTGAAGGTGTCCTAGTGCATCCTGCTGTGCCTGGCCCAATTCCTGCCCAAACACAGCTCGTCCAGAGTTTATGATGTGGTTCCCCTCATGCCCTGGTTCTCTCCTCTCTTCCTTCCCAGAGAAGATCTGCACACTTCCCAACAGAGACCTGGACCGCACCCAACTTCCCATCTTCCTGGGGATCCAGGGAGGCAGGCGCTGCCTGGCCTGTGTGGAGACAGGAGAGGGGCCTGCCCTGCAGCTGGAGGTGAGACGCTTCCTGTTCTAGGGAACCCTGTAGAGCTGCCTGTCCTCCAGGCATCTGTGGGTGCCCTGCCAGGTCCACATGTCCCTCTCCTGCAGGTTTCCGCCATCTGCCTCTGCACTCAGGGCCAAGACCCTTGTCCTCACAGCCCTCAGGAGGCCGTTCCCAGTAAAGTCCCTCCTTGCCCAGTCCCTCACCACCTCCTCTGCAGCCTCACCCTGCAGCTGGCCACTTGTCTTCCCCCCCCCCCCGTCTCCCCCTAGGATGTGAGCATTGAGGACCTGTACAAGGGCGGTGAGCAGGCCAAACGCTTCACCTTCTTCCAGAGAAGCCTGGGTTCCGCCTTCAGGCTTGAGGCTGCAACCTGGCCCGGCTGGTTTCTCTGTGGCCCGGCTGAGCCCCAGCAGCCGGTTCGACTCACCAAGGAGACTGAACCTTCCATCCGCACTGAGTTCTACTTTGAACAGAGTCGGTAGGGAGGCAGCAGGCAGAGTTCCAGCCTGATGCCCCCAAAGCAGGCTCATGTGCTCCGGGCCAGTGGTAGGCAGAGCAATGTCCACATCCTGACCCCCAGCACCTGGGGACATGTCACCTTACAAAGCACAGGGGACTTTGCATAAATTAAAGGTCTGGAAATGGGGAGACCATCTTGGCTTATGGGATGGAAGGTAGATGAGCAATGTCTTATGGGGTCCTCATAAGAGGGAGGCAGGAGGGCAGGAGTCAGAGAGAGGTGGGACTGTGCTGCTAACTTTAAAGATGGGAAGGGGCTATGGCATGAGTGCAGGTGGTCCAGAAGCTGGACAAGGCAAGGGAACGATTGTTCCCTAAAGCCCCCAGGAGAAAACAATGCTGTGACTACTTGATTTTAATCCCATGATGCCATTTCAGGCACCTGCCATCCAGAGCTGTCAAATATTAAATGTGTGTTGTTTTCAGCACTGCACTTATGGAGTTTGTTACAGCAGCAACAGGGAACTGACACAGGGCCTCAGGCCCCTCATGTGTGTCCAATGCCAGGGAACTTTGAGGTCTCCAGAAGGCCAACCACAGTTGCTCCTCTAGTCCATCTGCTCCAGAGCTTCCAGAACAGCCACGACACTCCAGGAAGAACCCAGCTGTCCTCCTCTGTTCAAGGGCAACGCCTTGGGCAGCTAACCGTTTCAGCTTTAGTTCAAATCTTACAACTTTTCTATGAGACACTTCACAATGTGTCAGTCATTCAGCTGATCGGTGCCTTTATTGTCTGCTGGTTCAGATGAGTGAGGAGCAAAGAGGGGCAGTGAGGGATGGGCAGGGGGTTTCCACAGGACGGGTGAGTTTAAGGTTCCAGTAGAACCAATATGTTGAGGTGACTGTTAGAGCTGGGAAACAGACTGGAGACTTTGCAGCCAGACTGACACTTGTCCTCAGGACTCGGTCTCTCTCCACTCACAGAGGATGTGTGGTAGGGCCCCAGCCAGAGCCCACGGCACTGGGCTCTAAGGGGGTGGGCTGCTGGCTTGCACCATTCCTCTAATAAAATCGCTCCACATCCGTGCGACAGGTGCCATGGGTTTCAGAGCACTATCATTTCACCTGGAGCGACCCACAGGGGAGGCTCCTGACCCCCTTCTGACAGGTGAGGATCCTGTACAGAAAGGCATGAAATAACATGTGCACCTGGTGGAGCATCCAATGCCAATGGCAGTCCTCAGTGTATCCCCGCTTATTCCAGGGGCTGGGATAGAATGGGGATCAGAGCTGAGCTCCCTTGGAGCTGAGAATTGAGTGTGAGAAACACTAAATAAGCAAACAAACAAACAAGAAAACAAACAAGGGCAGTTGACCTGATAGAGGGTGGTAACAACGTGGTGACAGGGAGGTGACTCTGCCTTTTTTGAGGAGGTGACACACTTGAGCTGAGACTAAGGGACAGGAGGAGTTGGGCGAGGAGTGATCCTGGGAAGGAGTAGCCAACACAGAAGGCATGGTGTTCATTTAGCAGCAGAAGGCCGGGTGGGTGAAGCATGGAGAGCAATGCAGAAGGTCAGGAGGTGAGCAGATCACAGGGCTGATCAGAGGGCCTGAAGGCACAGTAAGAGCTATGGTCCATTTTTAGGGAAGCCAGAGGACAGTCATGCTGGGCTTCATAGCTCTGACCAGTTTAGTTTCTCCCCTTGCCTCTCCATGGCCTGGTGTTTATGTGTTGGGACTGCTCTGTGGCTTTTTAGGACTTGTTCTGTTTAAGTTTGGTTCACCAGGGCCCAGAGCAGCTTCAGGTACACTGGGAGGTGCTGAGCAAATACAAAATCTCCAACAACTTGGTGGGTGATCACTTGGTTCCTGTCAGGTCAGCCTGAGGAGCTGGAGCAGCAGGGGAACGGCGCCACTGCAGCAGGAGCTGGAGCTGGAGCGGGTGGTGGGACGGGCAGGCTTCTTGAGGGCATGGCCTTTAACCTGAGCCTCTAAGAAAAAGGACTTTTCCAGACAGCAAGTGTGGGGAGGGGCCCTGCAGTCAGAGAGGACAACTCAGGGAGGTGATGATGGTGTCACCTGATGAGCAGTGTCACCCACGGGCTGGGGCCCAGGACTTGTGGCTGAGGAGTTGCTGAAAACTTAGGTGAGAAGACAGGTGGGACCAACTGTGATAGCCTTGGAGGGAGGTTTGACTTCATCTAGGAGGCCTGGAGGAGTCATCCCAGGATTTCAAGTCTTAACCCTGGGCCCTGGAGGTCCACACCAAACCTACCTGCAGCTGCCAGTGCTTCAGCTCGGCTCGGTTTCCTGCTCTCTCCTCCACACCCACAGGCCTTCTGCTGGGTGCTGCCTTGGATCAGTGTGGCATTCTGGTTTGACCCATCTCTGGCCACAGTCCCTCATCTCCTTCACTCCTGGTAACTCACCTGACCCAACCTGAGCAGAGCCCACACGTGGCAGGGGACGTGGGTCTGCCTGGTGGCTGTGAGCTCAAAAGAGAAGGGTCAGCCAAGTGAACTGGATCAAGTTCTCTACTCATGTGAGATACCATTTATGGACCTAATGCCTGCCGGTTCTGTGTTCATGCTCTGGAGAGTGAGAAGCTCCCTGAGACTGAGAAGACAGTGCCATGGGAGACTGCCAGGCTCTGGGGAAAGTGATAGGTGCTCTAGTCCTAGGGGTTCTGGTCCTGGGGATTTCAGAGAGAGAGAGAGAGACCTGAAGTGCCTTCTGATAGGTGCAGGTCAGAGATGCCATTCCCAAGCTGTCCCTTAGATGCCTTCTCCTCCCGGGTGACCACACTAGAGGCTTCATCCCACCACCAGCCCCTCAGCACTATCCTCACATAGATTCTGAGAGAGGCTCACTATGTGTCTTACCTACAACTCACATCTCAGAGTAAACAAGAAAGTCAGAGCCAGAGACAGTAAGCTGGTGGTCAGAGCACATGGTGACCGCTCCTATGGGACTGGGGGGCATGGGCAGGGCAGGAGGTCCAGGAAGAGGAGATGGCCCAAAATGGGCCTGAAGAAGGTGCTGTGTGTGTGTGTTAGTGCATGCATGTTTGTGCACACATATAGGTATGGTGTGTGTGTATATGCATGAGTTTACCTGTGTGTATGTGTGCTATGTGTATGCATGAGTGTCTGGGTATGTGTAAGTGTTGTGTGTGTGCATGAGTATCTCGGTGTGAGTATATGTGTTCATGAACTTGTGTCCATCTGTGTGCACATGGACTGTGTGTGTGCTTGAGTGTCTGGGTGTGTGTGCATGTTGTGTGAGTGTGTTGTGGGTTCCATACATGAGCAGTGGTTGATATATAAAAGCCCATGTTTTTATTCCAGGAAGCTTTGGAGCAATGTTATACAGAGGGTGATGTGTTCAGGGTCTCCTGTAACCCAGTGTCACTCCAACCAGAATTCAAAATGTAGTTACATTCCCTTTGAGCCCATTTTTATCTTGTGATGCCCTACAAACAACTGCTCAAAATGTTGGCCACTAAGCCCCACTGTCTGTCAGGGCAGTGCTAGGCAAGTTCAAACCAAGATGTAGGGAGGAAAAGTGAAAGTGAGAAAGAAAACTTAATGGGACACAACTTTTCCTTGGTACTGTTCTGCAAAAACATACAACCATTTCCAAAATGAACATGATGGAAATGAACAAAATGACACCAACAGAGGAGTTTGTCTTGTTCAGAAGCACTGGTATTTGAGTTATTTGAGTTCACTTCCTGTTGGAGTTTACATTTGTGTAACTACTGGTAAATAAAAGGTTTGCTAGTATTTTACCAAAACAAATTCCAGTCACTGCCCCGAAGAGACTATTCTGAACCAGGAACCTGAAGCTCAGCTTTCGGTCTGCAGGTGGCGATGAAGGTCAACTTCTGTGTCATGTTGGGGAGCAATTTCGATAAGGTCTTATAGTGTCACAGGGTCAGCCCCGTGCCCCATATCCCCTCCTCACTTACAGTAGATACATCTATCTCAGACGATGTGCAGATCCAAATCACATGACAACTCCTTCCTTCCCTCAGCAGCATATTCCTAGCAACTTCTCATAGAAGAAGCAGATCTCTGAGCCTGGGAGGGAAGAGAAATGTAAGCACAATCTCTTATGTTTTGCCTGTATGTGGAGGAGCAAATATGCCTGAACCCCTCCTCCTGCAGTAAGTCCTCTGCTGTGAGTTCTCCCACCCTTGTCCCCTCTGACACGTTTGGGACACCAGTCCAGGGCCTGTGATAGCAGGTGAAGGCAAGGAGGCTGCAGGCTGGAGTCTTAGCCAGGCTCCGCCCTAGAACCTTCCCATGATGTTTTCTGGAGCTCCAGAGAGCAGTACTGGTCACATGATCCGTGTTCTTGGAGGACTGCAGACTCAGTTTCTCCTAATCAAATATTTCCCACACTGATGCCAGGGAACAGGGTTCCAGGGAATGCTCATGGTTTATGGGGGAAAGGTCATTGTGATGGTTAATTTTATGCAGATAAGTGATGCCCAAATGGCTGGCAGACACTGTCTCTGGGTGTGTCTGTCAGGGAGACTCCAGAAGAGCTTACACTTGAATCAGTGAGTGAGGGAAGCAGACATCTTCCCAGTGTGGATGGGCACCATCCAGTCCACTGAGGGCCCCAGCAAAACAAAAAGCCAGAGAAAGGGTGAGTTTGGTCTCTTTTCTTGTGCTGGAATGTCCATCTTTTCTAATCTCAGACTTCAAAGCCCCTGATTCTAGGGCATTCAGACTCAGACTGAGTTCTACCACTGCTTTCCCGGCCCTTCAGCTTTCAGATAGCAGACCTTGTGACTTCTGGCTTCCAATACCTCGTAACAGTGAGCACCTTCTTATACTCTATCTATCTATCTATCTATCTATCTATCTATCCATCCATCCATCCATTATCTAGCTATCCATTATCTATCTATTTATCTATACATTCATCCATCATCTACCTATCCATTATCTATGTATCTACCTATCTATCCATCATCTATCTATCTATCTATCTATCTACCTATCTATCT